ACTTGTTTACGTTCGTAGCTTCAAGAAGTTCACAGGTCAGTCACTAACCGGCACAGTGCAGGGTCAACGTCCGCACATCAAACAACGGCGAGCGTAATGATGGCTCAGTAGCGTGGGTTGCGGTCATTCCTTCCGACGACGGTCTCGTGATTCTCATTGGACGTGCGATCACGCATGAGAAAAGCAAGGAAGGCTCAGCAAACGGGACATGAATGCACATGGGTAAGCAGGTCAGCGGGCACATTCAAGCACATTCACACATGTCAGTACACAAGTGTCGGAAAGGACGGCCTCTGTGGCAAGGTGAGTGCCGGGCACGAATTAGCAAAACAACTGAAGATCAAAAGTACATGGGCGGGGTAAGCAAATGAGTGGGGGAATTATCATACGGTGAAGTTAGATTCAACACCGGCCAATTTTGGGCCCAAATTTGCCTGTACCCGATAGCTTCTCAGTTTCTTTTTCCCAAAAGTTTCACCTAAGCCGGCGAACATCTGCTATTGAAATGCGCTCTACACCCATCTCACCATGGCTGGTGGACCTGTCAAACATCTCACCATATACAATCTTGAATCTGGCTTCTCCGCTCGCTAGACTGAATCGTAAAGTCATTGTGAAGCCACTAGTTACGTATCTAGAAAAACAATACAGAAAGTCGCTCAGAGTGCCTCCTCTCCATATACCGCACAGTACTCCAGAGGCTCCGCAGAGCTTACATCTGATTCTTTGTTGCAAACTTAAACCAAATTAATGGCTCACGACTCCTGACACACCGATTCAGCAACTAATATTCCCAACGAGCTAATATGGAGCAATTGTCCAGCAGCAGGGTCCTAAATGCCACTAAAAACATTCCCTATTGCTCTGCAGATAAAACCAAGTCGTTCAGGGTAGTTTTTGGGCTGCCTGTGGGTCGAAAACTGAGTCTGTAGAATTTTCCGCCCAAGTCAGTCTAGTTTATTCTGGTCACAACAGAAGTTACGAACCCACAGTTGTGGCTCTGGGTTCGCGGCCCACTATCAGATGGAATAAAACGTCAGTACACCTCAGCCACCATGTTAGAACGTAGCCTTAATTAACACTTGTCAAGGAAGTGTTCGCGCTTGTAGTAGCTATTTAGGGCAGGAATGATGGTGGATTTATTCACCAGCTTGTAGAGATTATACCGACAGAGGCCTGTCCAAAAGTATTCAATGAGAAATCAATATAACTGGGATGGCCGGAAGAAACCCTGCGATGCCCATGGCCTACGTGGACGTGCATAGCTGTAGCTGCCTTCGTCAATATCGAGGCTACACCGCACCAAAACCTACCTCGTCAACCAAAAAAAAGACAAACCAAATTCGCTGCTCCCAGGAGTGGACACATACAACACATATAAACATACAGCTTGACTCCCGACTCTCCACTATCAACATCCGAGGATAGCATCGGAAGTCTTTTTCGTCACGCACCACTCACTGATTAAAGCTGATGGTAGTGCTTCGGGGACTGGTGACCTTCACCCTCGCATCCACCTTCCTTCCTAGATCGTCCTAGTATCGTCCATCTCACTAACAACCTCCAGGAATTTACACCCCCCAGTCGTTACGAGTTTGGTTAACCCTCACCACACCGCCTCTTAGCCCACATGCAGTAGACTGTCCTGTCTCAGGTAGTATAATTATACTGGCAATCTTAGCTTGGCTCTGATGACTACACTACTGAGTACAGATTCATCGTTATCCTGTCTTGTTTGATCACCTGATGTCCTTCCATGACTGTGGTAGACGTTCATTTTTTGCCCTATTAAAGGACCATATCCTGGCTGATAACCCCTATAACTCTCCAGACCTCATTGATCTCATCTCCTTTCATCTTCTCCCCAAGCTTCGACCCATGGTAATGCGTGCTATGGACTATCTGTTTGGCCGTTGTCAACTCCACCCGACTTGTGCATCACGAAGGAAGGGATCCCGACCTGAAAATAAAAGGAAAAACAACAACAACACTGCACATCTCAGCCTAACAACCTAAATCACGACGTCCATCACGGGGCTGTCCAGAAACCGAAGTACTTCAGTGCAATGATACGGCGCTGGAATACCCGGTTTGATAGCATACCCGCAATTGTTCCCCTCTTACTTTGTCCAGGCCCTCTCGCTCACTGGTTCCCATACCGACAACCACAATCAACCTTCATTTGTCCCCGGCCACCACCGGAAGGCGTTCATTGCAATCTGCCGAACCTTCTGCCAGATGTAAAGATCTCGGCGGCTTTTATTCGCACTCCTCACCAACTGAGTCAATTATTGCTCTGTTTGAGTGAACTCGTTTCCCAGGTAACTTTTGCACTCGACCCTGTTTCATCTGCACAACTAGTAAGTCTCATAAGCTTCACTGCACACTGTAATTCTGCGTTTCCTGCTACCATTTGTCCGTAATACACTTTTGCCCCACTACACCACCCCCACATAGCTTTCCGTGTCCATCCGCCAGAGCCCAAGGCCATGAAGCCCTAGTGATGGTTCCGGGCTTTAGTTCAAACCGGCTTGCCATGTCGTGGCAGCTCTGCTGACACTCCACATCCATTTTTCCGGCCCTACACTTCCTGTAGTTTGAAGTTTTTTGTTTTTGTCACGTTCCAGTCAGGAAGCTCCTTGTTATGCCCTCATTTGTATTGTTTTCTTTGCCCGTCACTTTTAAACCCTAACGTTCAGATCGCGTGCCATCTGATATGTTCTCCATAGAACATAAAGAGACCTTGTAATTTCGGATTCCTACCCATGCCACCTCAGGTGTGATGAACTCTACTTCATTAATGTTTACTGCTTACGTCACTTTCCCTTTTCCCATTAATCAAAAACCCCACCAGTCTTGCCTTTATTCCGACTGTAATACTTTGATCGCGCCCGACGGTATACTACCCACTAGTTGGGAATAAATATTATTATTATTATGATCGAGACTGCGCGGTATCCCGCGCATGCAACAACACGTTTAATTCTAGTGCCTTCTTCTTGAGCGACCTCGGCCAGCGCTAACGCGAAAGTTTCACTGGACTCGATAAGTTGGAACTTCATCCAGGATGCCTTGATAGTATTGAAAACGTTCATCAAAGATGCGTGAAGTTGTAGCCAGAGGGGAGTTGCTCATTGGTCCGTACGAGAAACAGGTCTACCTCAGATGGAGTTGAGGGTTAATGTTTGACCACGCCGAGAAGATATCTTGGTCGACTCAGTGGGTTTTGAATCCACAGTGATCCAGAAGAAGGTACAGTAGTGGTTTCGGAGATGGCAATCGGGGTAGACAAGGCCGCATATAAGTACAGAGCACTGTACCTACACCCCCACGTTTTGGATAGTGTTCTGTGGATAGCTCAGCGTCAGTGACGTTTGGTGTGAACTAGGTTTCTGTGGGTTCCATTGGGGACTGTTGTTCAAGGCAAGCCGACTGTTGGATATCAGGAAGTTTGTTGAAAAAAATACAACAGTACTACAGTACTATCTTCACTGCATCCGAAGGTAGGGAGCAGAGGGGCTTGCCACCAAAGAGGTCAGCAGACCTAATAGTTATACGCCGTTTCGATCCTAGGCTTGGATAGGTTCTCTGTGGCGTACCCGTCTGCATCCCGCTTTGGTTCTTCCGAGGACTACTGTTGGCTGCGAATGGGATTTCGTCCCATGGTAGTACGAGCTGCGCAAGCCGTTTGTCTTTTTGGAAGATTGTTGCTTCATGGAGGGCGAACTTTTGACAGCTGCCGCCTGTAGCCTGTGTAATTCCAGGATATGGAGGTTTGGACTCGCCGTTGTATTATGATTTGCAGGGAACATGCGTCCGTTACTTGGGATTTTGGTGCGGTCTTGTCACAGATATGTCCCTCTGACGCCTTGTTGGGTGACCTGCGCCTCAAATGGCACCACCAATAAGTAAAACTTTTGATGGCATCCCAAAGAGACTCGTTTCCGAAAACGACCGCGTACTGCTCCCAACAAGCAGCTTTTCGGTTGAGTGGCTTAACCAACCACGGTCGCTTTCACTTTGTGTTTGTGTCCACTCCCAGGATGTCCGCGATGAACATGGCCAGTTCGGTGTACGTAGGATTTCCCGGCGTGTTGTTGTCAGATTTGCTGCTTTGTCCCTCGGTGTCATGACTAATGACTGAATTCACTTTTCATGAAGTGTGGCTAGTGGTTGGACGTTTCACATTTTCAGTGGTTGTGGGGCTCTTGCAACCGTCTCCAGCGTCGAGGCTAACGCTTGCGAACGATCTGTTGGTGAACTCTGCTCCTTGTTTCTGCACGGCTTACCCGGTCCAGCTTAGAGCCGGTGACTTGGTTATTGATTCCACCGCTGCGCCTTTTTCATCCGTTAAAGAAACAAGCAACGGCTGCTCCACATATTTTGAACGCTTTGTTTCCGTGATACTTGCCCAACCTTAGGCACACTCGTTTTTTGCAGCCGCACATTCCGTTACCTTTTTTTTCAAAAATGCGCATTTTAGAACGCATTTGATTACGGCGAATAATCTGGCCCTCGTATTAAGGAGTTCAAATATTTTAGTTCAGCGCATTTATATAATCCCGAGAGGATGTGTTGCGAATCGATGACAGTCTACCAGCATTAGGGCACCTATTTGGACCATCACTTATAACCATTGAACTAGTGGGTGTTGGCCACCAGACTTCGGCTACCTGTTAGCCTTGATGACCTTCAAAATTCCATTGGACCGTTACGGCGAATAATCTGGCCCTCGTATTAAGGAGTTCAAATATTTTAGTTCAGCGCATTTATATAATCCCGAGAGGATGTGTTGCGAATCGATGACAGTCTACCAGCATTAGGGCACCTATTTGGACCATCACTTATAACCATTGAACTAGTGGGTGTTGGCCACCAGACTTCGGCTACCTGTTAGCCTTGATGACCTTCAAAATTCCATTGGACCGTTCATACAATTGACCTTGGCGGCAGATCGTAAGTAGGCGGCAACCTCAGGATAGGCGCAATTTCACTTTGGGATGACGGAGGGCAAAGGAGATCCATGTCGGGTGGTTGAAGACAGCTTTGGAGCTATAGAAGTCCCCTTGGATAGTTATTATGGGGCACAAACTGAAAGATCCAGGAGGAATTTCAACATATGCCTACCCCAAGATAAAATACCTGTAATGCACCGTATCAGTGCTCCACCTATTCACTTCTCTCTAGTTGTCTGTGGTGTATGCTCTTGCTATGTTGAAGGAAATAGCAGCCGGTATTAATTGTGCGAAGTCAAGGATAAGCTCAGACGAAGCCACCGCGATCATTGGGGCTTGTCGCGAAGTGTACTCCGGAAAACTCGATGATCAGTTCCCGCTAAGTATCTGGCAAACGGGTTCAGGGACGCAAACAAATATGAATGTAAATGAAGTTGTCGCCAACAGAGCTACCGAACTGTTGTGCGGGTCCAGAACCGGTCAGCCTAGAATTCACCCCAATGATCACGTTAATTGCGGTCAAGTACTCACATTTGCTTTGGAGATTTTGTATTCCTCTAGAGCTCGAACGATATATTCCCCACTGCGATGAACTTAAGTGTATCACTGGAGACTGCTTGGAACACTATCCCTGCCCTTGAATCCCTGGTAGATGCGATAAACGCAAAAGCTTCCCAGTTTCGTGATGTTGTGAAAATCGGACGGACTCATCTTCAGGTAGGTATCGCTTTTCTGCCTCACATATCCATTTAGGATGCCGTGCCTATGACATTCGGTCAGGAGCTGGGGTCTTTTGGAGCGCGGCTGTCAAATACCATCGGACTGATTAGGCAAGGCGTGAAGTCCATTTGCAACCTCGCCGTTGGGGGTACTGCTGTTGGGACGGGACTAAACAGTACCAAGGGCTTTGACTTGGAGATGTGTGACGGCGTGACCAAGCTTGTGGAGGAAACGTTGAGACAGGTTGGTAATTCAGTTATTTGTTTATTTATCCCATCACTCGGTCATCACTGGCAGTTCGGCAATCATGGCTGGGGCGTACTCAAACATTACTTGCTGAAGAAAGCGTCGTTTTCTGTTCGAAACGATTTCTGGCGAAGTGTTTGCGGGGAAAAGCCATGACATGGCATAGTGAAATGAAAGCACTCACAGGTCGTGAATCTGCTTGCAGGTTCTCCCGAATGAGGACTGCATGTACTTTGCAACTTGTAGTAAAAACCCGATTTTCGTTTTTTCTTCGGAAGACAGTAGGAGGCTGTTGAGGAGACTAAAAACGTATCACTTTGGATTTAGTTTAGGTGATATTTAAAGAAACACGAGCGTTCCACACCAAGACCAAAGGCCTCGTCACAGCCCAGTGTACGTCGGCCCAAGCAAGGGGATGATTATGTGTACCATGCTGGTAATATGTTGCTTTTACAACCCACTGATCATTTTACTTTCTTTAAAACATTCAAAACTTATCCATTTTAACTATAATGTCTTCATATGACTTGCTCGGTAGGCTGTAGTTTTGTTCTAAGATCTTGCGAAATTAGATCCGCAATAATAAACGATGGTTAGGGCCGGCCTCTGTTACTTCTGTTATAACTTTCGGTTGCCGGAGAATCACCAGTCAAGGGTTCCTCCCTCCCCTGAATGCCCTTGTCAAAAATATGGCTCGTCCCTCCGGTTGGGTCTTTTTTTCCAGTTGTCATCTCTTTGGATAGACGAACCTCGATAGACCCATTTTAATTGCCGCCTTAAAGAATACCTAGGGACGCCATCTGAACGGACGGGCAAACGTATTCCGTTTCTCGCGACCAACCAGATATAGTCTATCGAGTAGTGATTTATCCAAATTTCCACTTCGGTAAACACGGAGCCCGATAAATGATGGCATACACTGATGTGCATTCTGCACGTCAAGCCTGGTGTTCTTATGGGTCCGTTTCTCAAAAATGAATAGTTTTGGCTGGTCCCACCCATGCGGGGTCTCTCTTGGTCACTTGTTTCACATGCCCTCTCTAGGGAGAACGTGGAGTAGTACCGCGCAGTTAAGACCGTGTTTTGAGGTCTACAGTACTTCAGAAACGAACTTAACTGTAATATTATTGGTTGGGTTTTTATTTAGTAATGAAAAATTCCATTGCACAAGTCTGTGTACTTCGTCACAGGGAGACGTGTCCGGGGAACACGTAGTTTTTTTGGAGTTGGGTTATGGCCTCTTAAAATGTACCAATTCCGAGCCAAATCTAACGACCCTACTGAAGTTGCCGCCGTCGGTCTATGGTCCTTCTTGAGAGGGACTCCTGTAGTCAGATCCTCGTCATCGATAACACATGAGTGTTCAGCAGCCGTGCTTCGTTGCATACAAGTATACTTTATTAGAGTGCCTGATTGTGAATGAGGGAATGAAAGTGGATGGAGGAAGGAATCCAGTGTTAGGTGCTTACACCTCTAGACACTCCCTCAGGCGATCTGGATAGGAACTGACGGCAAGTACGCATTTGATAACGCTAAACAACCGTATGTTGCAGTGTCTGCATCCAAGCATACCAGGAATCACATGGACACCATCCGGAAAGGCGAGTTGCACGAAGACAACAGAGACTCTTCATACCCATCTACCCAATCAGAGGTGATCACATTCTGATAAGACACGGAAAACAGCACGCTCTTCGGTAAGCGACTGTTCGGCATGTGCAATACGTGGCTCAACCATCGCATTTTGGCGCTGGACACATCCTTCGATTGCAGGTACTGTTGCATAATCGAATAATCGCAGTCAGTTGCCACACACAGCAACCAAAAATTTTTAATGGTTTAGGATTGTGTAGGGTTTTCTGTCATATCGTCGTTCGGCTGTAGCGCTCTATCGATGCCTAACTGCCATGCCGCCAGAAGGTGACACGAGGTCTGAGATACTGCCAGGTTGCCCAAGCCTGGACAGGGGAAGTTGAGAGGCAGAGGTTGGTTTCGAACTACGGACCTTCTTGTTAATAAATTCGCGCTCTAACCAATGAGCTATCTCGCCATCTCTCCCAAATACCTGGAATAAATCGAATCGAATGGCTTACAAACGTTCAGTATTTGTGTCATTGAGGTTTTGGGGCACGGTCTTCCAAAGAAAATTTTCCGTATTTTGTTTCCTCATTCTTCTAGGGTTTAGTGGTCTCTTCATAGACTTTTCAGTCAAAATTTCATCCCATAAGTGAAATCAGCCTGTACTGAAGAGCGTAGAACCGCTGTACAACACCACAAACCACCTTTACACTTATTATATATATTGTTCTCTGTTGGCATATTGGATCGCATGGTACAGAATGACATTCTTTTGTTGAATAGTTTGTTCTGTGTGAGACTTGTTTTCTTTGACACTACATTGCCTTTAAGGATTTTTCAAACAATTGGCTGCCCTTTCTTACGTAGAGCTGCGGGGTGAGCTCTCCTCGATAAGGGTTTGTCACTAATTCGCCCATTATTTGCATGAGCAGCTTGTGTCCACTCTGGGTGAGCAATCTGTGAGGAAGGTTCGAGCACGAACAACAGTATTCTCTCAATCCAGGTAGTTAACCCTATCTTTCATACCTGGATAGCCGAATGGGTACTACCTTAAATTCCATCTCGATGACTCAGGTTAGAACTCCGTCTGATTTCCTTGAAAGTGGCAGCTACCCGATCCGTGCAGCTATTTCAGAAATAAAAATGGAAGTTACCAAAATTCGCAACTGATTGCAATAAGATCATAGCATTGTGGAGGTTCTGATTAGCTTTTTTTTACCCAATAGCCTATAATATTTCGCAGACTAGCTGACCGAAAGTCCTCTCTCTTTGTCCCTCACTCCAACACCTTTTGTAGCGTTATGGTGATACTGCCAATAAGTACATGAAACTAACGTTCACACCAGCGGAAAACAAATTCGCTGCTCTTGCGGGACACGATGACCTGTTACAACTGAGCAGTTGCTTTAATCAGACGGCTACCATACTTTTCAAACTGGCTGGAGATTTCGCGTTGCTGAGCTCGGGTCCAAGCTGTGGGCTAGGTGAATTGATATTACCTCCCAACGAACCTGGGTCAAGTATAATGCCAGGTGAGTGGAGAACAGAAATATATCATGCCACGAATTTTTCATTGAGCCTATGGATAAGTAAGTTATCCGAATACAAACTATGCACCTTGGTATTCCTACACCTGTGGTGAACTCGACATTTTGTGGCATAGAATTTGAAATTAACGCACGGGTTATTGTGTATATGGTTGTCAATCGCTAACTGTTTCATATCATTGTCCGGTCTGTGTTAGCCTACGAAGCCACAACACCATTGCAGATTGTGGTGAGACCTATGATGAATAAACTTTAGCGAATGGATTTGTTTACTTCAGACATATTCTCTCTCCTTACTTATCGATTAGGAGTCCCTTCGGTGTTGAAAAATAATGTTGGCATTCTATCTTATCGTTTCTTTCCTCCACCACTAAATACTTCTCAGGCAAGGTGAATCCGACCCAGTGCGAGGCGCTGCGAATGGTCAGTTTACAAGTGATGGGCAATCATTTCACAACGAGTATGGCTGCATCACTGGGTCAACTACAGCTAAATGTTTTCAAACCACTTATTGTGGCCAAAATGCTGCACTCGTGTCGACTGCTTCGGGATGCTGCCATTAGTTTCACGCGAAATTGTGTTGAAGGATTGCAAATCAACCATCGTCGTGTGGAAGAACACGTCCGAAACTCCTTGATGCTAGTCACGGCGTTGACTCCTCATATTGGATATGACAAAGCCGCTCGTTTGGCCAAGTATGCGAAAGAAAACAGTCTAACGTTGCGCGAGGCGGCATTAAAATTAGACATGGTCAGCGCTGAGGAGTTCGATCGTGTCGTTCGACCAGCATCTATGGCATTTCCATTTTCTGAGGAAAATATGAACAATAACTAACTGCTTCTTGTTATTTGTGCCAACTCGTGTTTTTCATTAGGAAGTCCTTAGATGTCATTGTTGAATTCAAATTGTTCATTTCCATGTTCCTACTCCTGTGATTTCGTTCGCTTTTGGCCTGGCCTATCTTATTGTTTATTTCATCTGTCGTTTACATCAGTTGTCGTGAAATTGGTGGGGCAGCTAGCGTTCTTAGCGAATTTTCGTTCCCCAGGTTGGGAGTTCACTTAGGGGATTTTGTTCCAAAATGCGGAACGTGGTTAAATATGGATGGTTTGGGCAAGGTCACTGTTACCCAAATTACGTTTTTATCCGATGCAAGTGATCTTATCACTGCTAATACACTAAACTTCTATCGCTCCTCGCCCCCATGTACTCGCGTCCAGTCTCTGACACCGACAGTCACTGAATTTTTGCGTTTTCTACTGGCACGGCAGCTCGTGACAATACAAACCTAGCACAATGACATTACTATACTACCTCAAAATGTACCAAATATTACGCCGTACTTTTAGTCTAAAGCTTGGACAGGTCCGCTCTTTATTAGTGTATGTGTATATGTTATCATTCTCTTCCCGTTGCCAAACAGCATAGATTGTGGCAAGGCTGACTAACTGATGTTTACATTCTGCTGCAAAGTCACTCGTGGCTTTCCAGATTTCATCCCCAAATATAGCGTTAAGTGTCCCTTGAACAAATAAAAAAGTTGTTCAGCTGTAACACCCTTTCGGTGCCACCCATTCCACCAAAAAGAAGCACGAGGGCTGGGCTACCACCAGTGTAACGATGATACTACTGATGGGGAGTCATGAGAGTAGCATCGTTTCTTGGAAATTCTCTTGAAATAGGAGATCTTTTTGCGGAATTCGTGTTGTCGCTTTGTAGCATTTGCTTGGATTTGAGCAACAGTCAGTGCATATCCAGGAATCTTCAAGAAGACGCTTTCAAGAGAGGATGGGTCTTCAGTTTTTTTTTTAAATAAGATGCAAATGAGTTTTGCTTCCCTGTCGAATAATCTGTAACTGGTCATTTGGCATTTTCTGATAACTCCGCAGCGAAAGCCTTTCTCCTTTCACCAGGTTGCTCAAGAATAGACAGGAGAAGTCGAAATGCTGAGGTGGGGTTGAAACCACGGACCTTCCGGTCAGTATCTTCGCCCTTTAACCACCGAACCGTCTCTCCCCGCGGACCGTCGATTCTTAGTCATAACTCAACTAAATAGGAAATACAGTCCATGAACAATCATTATGTCATCTGCGTACCACACTATCTTTACGGCATGTTTGGTCGAGGTCCAAAAGTATCTGAAACAGCATCGCACTGATAAAATGGTTACTTGACTAGTTTTTATCAATTCTTCCATCTTGTGAACCGCGAAAATCAATAGAATTTGAGTGTTCCGGGCATTTTGTAACCTAGATAGACGCAGATGTTCGGAATAGACCCTTGATGCCGTGCATGTTAAATAGATTGTTTTACCAGAACAGCGGTGAAGCTTGGTTCACTTTGACCTACCTCGATTTGCGTTTGGTGTTGCTGGATGCATTTCAAGAATACGAATGGTTACGATGAGCTTTTTCGGCGCGATGTTAGTTAATTTAACGAAAACAAGCATTTAGCTGCTTATTGAGGGGCAAGATCCGGTTAGTATTACACAATTTCTGGTTTTATATTTGTGTAGGGATAGTCGTTCCACACTAGAATTGCAAGCTGTTCGTTGAAAGGTACGTCAGTTTCGTTAGGATCGGATTTAACTGATAGTTCACGTTCTTGACAAGTGGCTAGGATACGATCAAGCCTGCTGGAAATTGTAGTTGCTAGAGGTAGTCTTGAGATGTCGCAATACCCCTTTTGAAATTCTCACGGTCATTTTTGGTTCGGGAACTAGGTTTAACGGCTTCATCAGCAAATTTTCTCTCCTTTAACGATGTGTTAGTAACAGCCAAGTAAAGGTGGCTTAGGACATTACTGGCGCTAGCAGTACTCTTGTTAGAGCTCCGTTCAAGGAGGTGCTTACGGAACGGATTTGCGCCTTACACGGAACTGTGGTGCTGCTGGCTTATCTGTTTCGGTTAAATCTGATTCACATCGACTATTTCTACTGCAAAACTTTCTTCCCAAAGGTTCTCATGGTTTGGCTATTCACTGGTAGCGCGACAGGTTTTTACTCCACCTGAAAGACGCGTGAAAGTTGCACATGATTCGCCCACCACTGTTAGGTAGCGCAGGAAGGTTACTCGTGGTCGTTTTTGCAGTAGTAGCTCACCAACTGGTCCGCCAGCTCTACATTACTGTGGTAACTGCCAAACCCTGGGGGTGGCATAACATCGTAATAAGTCGTTTATTTTCCCCTTGGCAAACATATCCACAGTGATTCGATCTAAGTAGTCCCAGCCCACTCCTTATGTAAACGGTAACTTGTTCAGCGGTTGTTCTGTCTTACGGAACGTGCTGTGTGAAGGCATGTCATGTCGTCGCTTTCGGCTAGAGTCGATTTTTGAATGGAGTATACCGAACGAGTATATGCCGAGGGAATTTCAATACTTTTCCTGGTTCTTTCCCATCTCACGAATAGAGTCTTGTACGCATATATCCAGCGCTTTGGCTTTGGCCTAGATATGCAAAACCCTACGGCAACCACTTACGGTCAAATCTGACTGCACGTTTTAAAAGTAAGCGATCGACTGTAGCTAATGGTCCTAAATAGTGGGCCGAACAAATGATGCCAAGTCTGTTCTCGCGCTGCGACTCTGTTTACAAGTCCAAAACCCAACGACTTGACAACACAGACCTAGTTAAGCCGTAGTTGTCGCATCACCTCTAGCAAGTGAGTCGGAATGCTCAGGTATTGAGAGCAAAGTATCGGCTAGTTACGGTACTCTGCATATCGTATTGTTTGAGTGGCTCACTCTGATTCGGGTGGTCTGGCGAACTGCAGATGAGCACTGGACATGGCTTGCGCCGGTGTGTCGCTCACTCGTGATACCATAATTAAGTATACTACGGTCTAGAGCATGCATGTTAGATCAGGTGGTTTCACGAAGGTTTCAGATTTGCGGGTAAAACAGGTGCTCGTGTATACATAGAGGAAAACAAGCGACACAGATTTAACCGCACCACAGCCGATGATCTATTTTTTACCATGAAATATTAAGAAAGGTGAGGGGATACATTACTTTCTGTATGGTGAGACACTGGCCCATCGGAATTTTACTGTAATGAATACCTCGGTATGCTGTAGTGTTTTGAAGGGGTTTTCCGATAACGAAAATCACGTAAACGTGGGATACGGATCCCATCATTACATACGGTAGCTTTTCTGTGATACAGTATATTGTGTCGGCTCGTTTGCTAACCCAAAGACTGTCTATATAAAACTTCCACTATCAGTGGACGTCATGAACATCCGTTTTTGGTCTCATATTCAGTCACGTACGTCCCAAAAATAGAGCTGTGGTTTGCAATAATTGTCATGATTGGTTTACGTCAAATTTTCTGATTGTGCTTTGCCATGAATCCGTGTAGATGCATACATGTACCCACTATCGATCGAAGTAAGCGTGAAAAGCTACACAAATCATCAGAATTAAGGAACGTATGATGGGTCTTAGGCGCCCCTCTTAAGTCTTGGTATCTAATGCACTACTTTCAATTCGCTGTGATAATGTTCGAAAATTCTTCCTGATTTTTTGGGAAATTTATGGAGAATTTCGCACTTAGCTTGACTCGTGCCCCAATCGTACAAAGTTCGTGTTCTCTAGCTTCATCGTTTTTATTCGGTTATCGAGTGGTTGATTTGCTACTCCAAATAGTAAGCGATACTTGATATTTCACTCATGGTGAGTTTATACTCAGGCATCCGATCCACGTTCGCCGGTCCTCTTGTGGATCACCCATAGTGCTCCGGTTATAAATGGTCAAACAGTAATGATAATTTATACTGTGCAGGACACGTGCACTGTGCACATGTACTGATAACACTAAGCGAATTGTTCGAAAACGAAAGGGGAGCCGCTATATGATCCCCCATGGCGCACCGCATATGTTGTGGACATCCTGACCAATGGCTCTACTTGGGGTCTTAATACTCCGTCAGTCCACTTTTGACAACCACTGCCTAGCAAGAGGGGGTCACTTTTCTACACCCCCAAAACATCCGAGGGAAATTTACTCCCACAAAGTCTAACTTAATTTCTTGTTTATCTGAAGCATAACTTATGACTACAAAGAGAGACTAATCAAAACCACATGACTTGTTCTCTATATTGATTCCACCGTTTCCCGTCGAAGCCATATGAGTTTGGGAGAACGTTTGACGTTAATCTATTGATGCAATCTCAAACCCAACTAAAATAATTGTAACTCCAATTGCAAGTTTATCCATTTGCAGGTAGGAAGAACAATCAGGATGCTGTTGCCCATAACCCTTCGATTGATTCTCGTCAAGCCTTTTCCTTCCAACTGTGATGTATGAAAGACACCCGCATGAGAATAAGGAAACCGGTGCGACCGGCAACTGAGACGTGACTGCATCATCTCATCAGTTGATTTGCATTATCTCGATAGGACCGAATAATACTGAAGTTTCAGTCATGAATTAGGCAGTTATTCTAGGCAGAACACAATAAGGAAGCACATGATGGCTAGCTGAAGTGGTGCCACATACAGTGCGAATCCAGAAACGTAGATCACTCAACCGTTGAGGCAATATCATCTTGGTGTACACCTGCAACACCAAGGGATGTTGATCACGCCGATGGAAGGCGCTGAACAAAGTGGAGGCACTGAACGTGTAGAATTACCCCCAAATGAACTCACTAAGTGATTTGAGGCTGAATGTTTTCACTGGTCAGCAGTGGCACTGGATCACGTGCGTACTGTACATAGTCATTGCTGAAACAAACCCACAAACTAGCGAATATACACTCATCTGCAAACTAATTTGGTTCTTTCGAGAGACTCACCTGGAACCCAGCTGAATCTCCCGTTTAGGATGTTCTCAGGCAACTGAATGTGCTGCACCAGGCCGCCTCAGGTTTCAGTCGCTACGATACATGTATATTTGTAATGTACTACTCACAAGGTTGCTGAAAATCCATCGACAG